CACTTGCTGGCTAACATTTCAGATAATTTTGAATCTCTGGAAGTATACAAATTGATCAATAACTAGAAAAAATCTCTTTAAGGTAGACAACTCTTCTTCGAAAAATATTATTTGCTCCTTCCTCTGAACAATTTGGCCGCTGCAATCAATACACTCTATTCTTGTTAATGAAAATTTAATATCACCCTCTGGAGTCATCCACGCACAAAGCATTGAATTTAATGATAGGTATGTCTCCACTTTCGCTGATCTCTCGCTGTTGTTCATTTTTCAACCAATCATTAAAAACCTTGCTTTTCTTCAGGGCACAATGATTTCTGGAGTTGTAATGAGGTATATGTCTATTGCAACTTGGATAATTTTTGAAAAATAAGTTTCCAACCCGAGGACAGCCCAAATCATCTAGGTTTTCAACCTTTCGATCCAAGTACTTGGCCAAAAATTCTGTCTTTTCTTTTCCTTTAGCGTAAGATAACGGTGGTAAATAATTAAGTAAACCACCGGAAGTTTTTTGTATTTTGATAGCTTGCTGAAACATAGACGGGTTTTTCTCTCCAAGTCTTTATCAACCCATATTGAGTTAAAGTCAAACGAATAGTCAAATACTTTTTCGTAATCAGCATTATTCAAATCGCTCACAGTACCATACTTTTGTTTTGTAGAAATGAACCAAGAGATTTGTTGAAGCTCGCTCAAATAAAAATGTTCTTTGAAAAATAACTCGTATTCTTTCTTTGAAACTTCGTTTGCCCTTTCGAGGAAGACGACGTAGCGTTCATTACTAATTTTGAAAAATGAGTTTTTTTTCTGCGGTTGAAAACACTCTTAGTTGTAAAGGTTCATTATCAATATCTTCTGTACACCAAGTTCCCTCTAATTTCATTTTTCTTATTTCAAAATTTGACAAATTTATCATTTGGTATATTTTGCCTAGAAATGGCCGCCGTCTTTGGATAAAATTTCAGTTTACTGCCTTTTCATCATAAATTATAGGTCAATATAGTAATTAGTTTACTGCTGCTAACAGTTAAGCTACGCTGCCAAAATCGCCGGCGAATTTTTATTATATACTATAAAAGTCAATTCCCCGTTCAATAACAAATTTCAACTACATCGAAAGTGCACTTGCCCGAAACAAATATAACAATTAATATGATTCATATAAATAGCCAGGACCAATAATTAGGATCCAAAATTTGGAATTAGAAAGAGTTTTGTATCCTGTCCCTTGTTGTTAAGCTAAACTTGGCAAGATCCTAAGTAGGGGGTCTTCTGCTTATTGGGTGGAAAATTTCTTTCGTTTAAAAAATCCTAGGATGAGGGTCCTCCAAAAAATTAAGAACCCCTTTCCTAGGATTTTGCTTTACGTGAGGACCCCCCCCCCCCTTAGGATCCGGGACACGATACAATACTACTTTTGATATCAAATAACATTGCATTAATATTACGTTTCTTGGATCTTCGACCAATTTACTTAGAGCTCTGGAAGAGGGAGTTGGACTGATCTTTCTTTAATATCAAACCATTTTTGTAGTTATCCGTAAGTGACATATTTGAATTAAGTTTTTTAGGTACTGAGAAAAGATTATTCACGTAGAGTTGGTGATTCTACTGTATTACATGCTATAGTAACCTGAGCGTAAGATTGATTCGTCTTTAAGCTAAGTAGTAGAGCAAACAAAGGGTGAGTTCAAAATAGTTTAATCTTCAAAGATATTGTCTCTCTTACGTCAAAAAATAAAATTTGACAAAATCGGCGAACCCCCCCCCCCCCCCAAGTTGGAACTAAGGAAGCTAATGTTATGAAATTCAGAGGATGGATACTAGAGATGATTTGACCTGGGAATACAAAAATCGGGATCCCTCAGACCCTTGGAGGGCAAGTGATAACGGTCCCCGGAAGTGTAAATGGCCCTATCAGAACTCGGAAACTATCAGAACTCGGTTGTTGAGGGAAGCCCTATCAGAACTCGGTTGTTGAGGGAAGGTTAAGTTTGGAACCCCAGACCCCTAAGACCCCAACTTCCAGTTTTATGCCCTACGTAAACAAACCCACTCCTAACTTCCGGAAGTCGTTTCTCGGCCTCCAAAAATCACAGGGAGCTGAAGTTGGAGGGATGATTGGTAATGGCAGGATACTTCTTGTGTTACAATTTGAACCAAATCCGGCGGATGGACCGGAAGCTATTAGCGCTTGAGAAAACACCCCCTTTGATCGGAAAAAGGCAATTTACGCAAAAGAATGAACGGTGGCATAATAATTTTATTGCGGCAATGGACATAAGATACGAACCCCAAAAAAAGCCCCGTGGTCAGTGAAAACACTCCGGCGACTCCTTCCGGTGTTAATAGCCTTTTTCCGGAAAAAGTATTAATGGACCTTGGAAATGAGATATCTTGTGAAGTATTAATGGGACATGGATGGAACTTGGTAGTTAGCACCCCCATGGGATTCTAAACTCAAATATGGACGTTTGACTCCGGTTGACCCCCCTGGGTGACCTTAAGTTGACCTTTGGGCGTCTTGACCCCAAAATTGCATGGAAAACCCCGAGATGAACACCGAAAAGTGGCGTATTCCCCAGCCCAACCCCTGCAGATATGAACAGGTCACCTTGCTAAAAAATGGAAAGAAAAATTATATATTGGGAACTAGACAGACGCTGATAGAGATTGAGTTTTATATCGCAACCTTGGGTTACTAGAGTTAATTCAAGTTGGACTTGGTAAATAATGGGCTCAGTTTAGCCTGGCGATTGATCTATTAACAGCAATTCAACTAGACTGAAGAAAATTAGTCCCACATGAATTTGATAGTAATAGGACCGCAGCATGAGATTTAGGTCTCCTAAATATTATGAACAGACGGGGAATTTACTTGGCTTCCCGGATGTGACTTTTTCGTTTGATTTGACCTCTAATAGAAAAACTACGTTCCCCTGATAGCTAGAAGGTCGGGATTGGAATAGAGTACAGATAGAAATTTTGGATGCTTGGAATGAATTAGCTACCCAAGAAAAAGGCCTCCCCCTACCCTTAGGAGGTCGGAACGTTAATGGGATATTTAAAATAAAGACCTTGCGAGGGTCACTGAGTAAAAACAGCATGCTTTGGAGGTTGATTTGAACTCGAGGGTTGAATTCACTGAGGTCAGGAAGTTGCTGATTAGAATCGTATGACATTTGTTCGCTTGGTCAATTTGTGACACCTACGGCATAACGGGTACGTATTACAGGTGAAAAGATTGATGAAAGAAAGCGAACTTGGCACGTGGCAGAGTTGACAGGAGAAGCGATAAAGTCTTAAACTTGTGCGGACAGGTGATTTGAGCGGATGTCAGGACTGATAGGGAATGGCATGAATTAACTAAAACTAAGAGTAAAGAATGATAAGGAATTGGTGGGTACCGGAGAGCCTGTAAGATTCAGAACAGTTGTTGCCTACTATTAAGAGTATTTATTTCTCAGTCAGAGTGGAGAACAATTGTTGCAAGTGAGCGAGTTGCGCTGGAATCCGAGTTTAGTACCGGGTCAAACTCTTTGTGCCAGCGAGTTGCGTTTTAACCCGAGTTTAGTACCGGGTTGAATTAAATGCGTGAGCGAGTTGCGCTGCTGGAGTTGGCGAGTTTAGAATTACGTCAAGCGAAAATTGACAGGCGAGATAACGAAGTGATAAAACGGAAAAGGGAGAAAGTTTGCGGCCGTTAAGTAGAGTGAAATTCAACTTCATTCTTAAATTAGTTTTGATATACAAATTTAAACCACCTTGAAAAGATATTTCACCTGTGACCATTTATCGTGAAGTTATGGGGGTTTAAGGATTGACATTTTGGCCAACTTGGGATAATTAACGGGTGATATATATATATATATATATATATATATATATATATATATATGTATATATATATATATATCGCGCTATTGACGCGTAAGAGAAGATTTAATCCGTCTTAGAAAGCGTTCCAAATTGGTTGAAGGAAGCATATTTGCCATAATTGGTTTTTTACTAGGAGCTAAATTTTGTACTTTATATGGCGTGCGGGGGGATAATTTTCACAAAAAACCTCAATTTTTTTTCCAAAATATTTTTTTAAATTTTTTTTTACATTTAATTTTTTCAGGTTATTACTGCTCCATAGACCTTAAGAGGCAGTCGGAGCATTCTGGCCTTCGCCCTGATACGAGCAGTCTTGTTCTGATGTATGTTTGAATTGAATGATTTCTAGCTTTTAGTTTTTGAGTTAACGACCCTGTTGTTTCCCCAGAAAATTGCTTATAATTTACTTTAAGGCCATGTGTAGGCCTTCTCGTGTCGTTCCTGTATATGAACAGCAACTTTGTTGATCTAGCTAACTGCACATTAAAAATGCAAAACTAAATTATTTAGGGTCTTATACTACTTCGAAGCACAAGGTCAATTAACTCTACTTGAATTAAATTGTATTCTACTATATGAATGTACCTGTGAGTATGGGTTGATTGCACTTTTTGCATGTGGAGCAGTGGTTGTGTCGGAAGCAGTGATCACACACCTTGCCCCCGTCCTCCATCACAAAGTACTTCACATTCACCAACTCCTTCCCACAGTCCTATCAAACACACGGGAATTACTAAGGGTCAAAACTATACAGCATCAAAAGTAATCAAGTTCTAGGAAACAGTGGCAAACATCGTTGAACCAAAACTACAAAGTAAAAACAGAATAAGGCCGAGTCGGGGATGATTTGACTCCCTGGCCACCCAATGAGTCTCTTCATATAGTACCACATTATAACAATCTTTTTTGCTCAGCCAATCCCAAAATTTTGGTGCGAGTTTATGGCAACTTTGAGGAGACAGCGCGCGCTGTAAAATGAATTAATCAAAATTTTTCAAAATTACTATAAAACACGTCATCTTTTCTAGACATCTTCAAATGACATCTTTTTCAGTAAACAAGTAAACCAAGTTTTTGGCAACCAAATATCTGCGTTGCAAATGCTCGCAAAACTTGTTCATTTATAAATAGTTCCACACCCGGCAACCGTCCACATGTCTTGAGGCAGCCGGTGCACCATCCGCCCCTGCCTCTGCTCCGCCTGCTGCAGCCGCCGGTTCCTCATCCTGGATGCAATTGTAGGAGTGTTCTGGCTTGCCGGTTTTGTTCATGCGGTAGGAGGTCTTAATACTCTTGCCACAGTTGACACATCGGAAACAGTTCGGGTGGTAGGTCTTCTTGTCTCCTGTTGTAACTGTCTCACCTGTGATGACGTCACTGCATACCTAATCATAGATTTGTCGAAAACGTTTAAAAGTGCCGAAAATGTTGTTCCAACAAAAAGTTTCCAAATTTTGTCTCAACTTGTAGAGATTCTGCCAATCTCAGATGGATGTCTTAATGATTTTGCAGAATAGAGAGCTATAATATACCTCACACTTGGGAGCCATAGTGTTTGTGTAGCATGGCTTGCAGATGCGCTTGTGGTGTATGGTGAAGAAGGGTTTCCCTGCCAGCTTCTCCCCACAAGTCTCGCACGTGAAACACTTCGAGTGGTAAGTCTTCCCACCATTCTCCACTTTACTGTCTATCTTCAGCACAGCCTACGAAAAAAAATCAAAACTGTCAAAGACTTTTCAAAGTGATGAGTGTTGTGAAGAGTGCTTTAAAGACCTTTTTCGGAGTAAAGCTGTACAGGTGCGACCTTTATTTAGCTCTCCCTTTGTCGACTTTTTTTAACTCTCCCAAATCACACCCAAAAGACCCCATTTTGATCAAATTTTTCTGCGCCGCAGGCATAATTTTGAAAAAACAGGGCAAAAAAGGCCCCTTTAGAAAATTTTAGGTTCATTCAGTCAAAAATGGATTTCTCAAAACAGTACAAAAGGGAATCCCTTAGGGTCGGCAGGGGGTCGAATCTCTGAGCGGGATTTCAAGTTTTAAATAATTTAAATGCCAGATCTGCTGTAATAATGGCAAATTTTGGTTAAATAAAAGTAACATGAAAACTACTGCATGGCGCAGGGGTGCGAATTTCAAATGCCAGATCTCAAAACTAATTTTTACATCAATTTATGAAAACAAGAACAGATAAACTTAGTTTGAGAGCACTGTAAATTATATTCTAAATTACCTGCTCACAAACGCCGCAAGTTGCAGACATTTTTTTGACTTTTGGTGAACTTAGTTTTCCAAACTCAGGGATTGGTTGAAAAAATTGACGAGATTGGTTGCTTGGTTGACCGGAATAAAAAGATGAAACCTCTAAAAAATCACAGAAGTCAGGAATTGATCTTTTGTTCAAATTCAATTCAAAATTTTGTCATTTCGCGCCAAAAACGAATCAAGACCAGTCAGTCATTCACAATTAAAGTCATTAGTATTTTAGACACTAAAAGTTGAACTGAAAATTAAGGGAAGAATGATTTGTTCTTTTAAAACAGTAGAACCTTGATGAGTTGAAGTCCGGGGTGGCTTTCTCACTTTCTCATAGAGTATTTTCGGATATGGTACACCGTCTGTTCGTCTTGCTATCTTATTTTCGGCCGGATAGATTCGTGCAACTTCTTAGTTTTATACCAATTCAATTCTAATATTAATCTTATATCTCTTAGTCTCAACAGATCTAGAGTATAAGGGTTTTATTGCGAGGTTAGAATCGAGAAAGAGCAACTGTTTTGTTTGCGAAGTTAAATTCATTCTTCTCTGGCTGAAACTATAAATAGTTTCAGCCTTACAGTTTATTGTAAGTTTTAGTCATGGATCATGATTGGTTAGTTCCATGTATTTGACAGAGGTAATTATGATTGGATATAATAATTACTTGTTTTGAACTGGTTCCATTAAGCTGAATCTATAAAGCTTAGGGAAAAATTAATAGCAGAAAACTTGAAATTAAGTTAGCAAAGAAGAAGTTAAATTAGCGTCTACTAATCAAACTAAAACCATTTTAGCCAGCAGAATGCCATGTTTTTAAACCAGGCTTAAAATTTTTGTCACACGCGTTTTTGTTTCCAAAGACCGGTTAAAGCGTAGAAATCTTTTTTCTTTTCGTCCGGTTATTTCAAATTTTCAGTAAAAACAATTGGTTTTCTTTTCTCTTATCGTATTTTAGCCGATCTAACCTGACATTTTTTCATGGCAATTGACTTTGAATAGAAGAATTCAGTGTTTGTCAATCAAAAACGAAACAATGGTATGTTTATAATTTTCAGAAAACAAACTTTTTAAAATCATATACTTTTTTGTAACGGTTGTTATCGGATAATCAAAGAGTTTTACGTGCATGCCATATTTGGTTGTTTTGTTCCGCACTGTTCCAGGAACCTCTATGTACGCTCGTAGTAAGTTTAATAAAATATCTTATTACACTTCATCACCGATGATAAGGACTCAAAATTATACATCAAAGTTCAAAAACAATTAAAAGTTCTCTTCGTTTTGAGAAAAACTGTTTGTTTTGTTTCCATCTAGGCTCAAATTTTACGGTTAACGATGCAAACTACCAAGAGAAAAAGCTCACCCCAATCTTGTATTGCAAACTTTTTGAACCTAATTTGGTTTTTTATTCCGAATTTCAAAGGAAGTGACAGAATATTTTTGCTCGGGCAGGTTTTTTTCCTGACAAATTTCGACTTTTTAACTAGCCATTTTTGACGAAAGTTTGTCATATCATCTGAACTGCATTATTATGTTGAGCTCAAATTTCAAAAAAGTTTGTGAACCTGTGATCATTTTTCATTAAGTTATGGGCGTTTAAAGATTGTCAATTTGGCCAATTTGGAACAATTAACGCCAAATTTATGTCGCGCTATTCACGCGTATGCGGAGATTAATCCCTCTCAGAAACCATTCCAAATTGGACTTAGACATGCTATTTGGACTAATTTTGTTCCGACTTTCGATACGAAAGTGACGGAATATTTGTGCTCGGGGTGGGTTTTTTTCTTCAGACAAATTTCGACTTTTTAACTAGCCTTTTTTGACGGAATTTATTACATCATTCGAAAGGTATTGTTGTCCTGAGCTCAAATTTGAAAAGATATTTCACCAGTGATCATTTTTCGTAAAGTTACGGGGGTTTAAAGATTGCCATTTTGGCCAATTTGGGACAATTAACGCGCGATATATTTCGCGCTATTAACGCGTAAGCGGAGAGTTAATCCGTCTTAGAAATCATTCCAAATTGGTTAAAAGAAGCTTATTTGCCATAATTGGTTTGTTACAAGGAGCGAAATCTATCCTTTTGTACTTTGTATGGCGTGTGGGTAAAAAAATTCAAATTTTAGAAATGTTTTTTTTTTTATTTTGTTTTATTTCATTGAATTTTTAAATGTTATTACTGCTCCATTAACCTTAAAAGGCAGTTGGAACATTCAGGGCTTCGCCCTGATACGAGCAGTCTTGTTTGTTTTGTTTTTGACAAAATGTACTTTTTGATTTTTTTTGCCTGTGGAGGTATAATTTTCAAAAAAACGCAAACGGAAAAAAAAACATTAACTTTTTTTTTACAAATTTCATAAAGCAAACACTACACCATAGAATTTTAAAGGCAATGGGATCATCTTGGGCTTCGCACTGATACGAGCTGTTTTTGTATTTTATTGCCGAAGCCAGAAGCGGATTTAGATGGGGTGCAGACGCTTCTCCCTCAGGAATGCGATCCCTTGACGATCCAAAGGGCCCCATTTTTTGGCTAACCGGTTATAAAAATTTTCCAAAAGCAATTTTAACGCCAATATAACTTAAAAGTGTTAAGAAAAAGCGCAGGGCAAAAAAAGTTTTTAAAACCTCACAAAAAGTGCCTTTTTTTGCTTGTTTTTCCAAAAAATCGCCTGCGGCGCTGAAAAAATGCTGAACATGAGGAGCTTACAATGACTTAAACAGACTCAGGATAAACAATTCGGTCGGCTTCAAAAAAAAAGTCTACTGGTTTTTACTTACTCTGTTGTTTTTTTTTTCTGTCATCCGCGGTCCTCTCATCTACAGCGGGTCTCACAATCGGGAAGAACAGACTGTTTTTTTGAATGTTTAACTAAAGCTCTTGCAATTTTTTTTCAAAGAACATGAAGAAATCTTCTTCCCAATTGCAACTGAAGCAATAAAAAAATTACGAGGATTTGGTAACAGGCAGTAATGTAAGCTAGCTGTGTGCGAAATATTGATCATGGAGTACAGCAAGTTTCAAAGACCAGTAGTTTTTAACCTCTATTTTAGGGTTTTTTAATCAAAGCTTTGAATAATTTCATTTTTTGTTTCATAGTTTTTAGCTATCAAAACCGAGCTTTCAGTTTCTAGATGATATCAGTCCCATAAAAAATCAAAAATCTTCAGAATTGTTGCAAAAACACACTTGAAAATGCTAAGTGATGTCGACATTCACATGTAAAAAAATCATCAATCGTCAATCTCCGAACTCAAAACAGAATTTTTTCGGTTTGAAAAATTTGTAGATTTATTTTTTTGATTGAGATCCCAATTGAATTTGATAGCATTTGCATTACGAAAACAAAAGATTCTGACTAAACCGAATGGAAAAAAAAATAAAAAAAAATGAAAAAAAAATCAAAAAAATTGTTTTTGTCAATAAAATTTTTAATAATGGCAAGAAAAGCACTAAATACTGGTAAAAGAACTTTCACCATTAAAAATATTACAGAACGCTTCCAAAAAGCTCGAAATATTCTGAACTGTCGAAAAAAAATTCTGTGGAACTAAGCCAACAAAAATAAGCAGACAGACAATAATCTAAATGAGCGATAAACTTTCAGTTAGCAAAAACACAGGTTTCGACTGGAATGGAATTCCTCGGCTTTCTCGTCTAAAACATGGGTGTTGCGACAACTCAGAAGAAAGCTGAATCTTAAAAAAAGCAAGCTACGGAAATTAAGCCGACAAAACTAAACAGACGGACAATTTTCCGAAAATGTTTTAAAACACAAGTATGGAAAATTACAAGTTCCGGCCGCAATCAAAACGCCAACTTTTGCCGTTTAAGGCAGTTGTGCTTACCTCTAAGACGGATGCACTGAATTGCTGATTGAGTTTGCATTTGAATTTACAAATACCAAGTGGTATCAAAGCCAAAAAAAACCTGAGCAGAAACCCTTCATTTCGGAAAAAAATCATTCCAAAAACAATGGAAAGTTGCAAGTCCAATTTCACCACCACACACAAGCACAAAAAAATTTATCGGCTCTCAAACGACGCAATAGAGAGATATAAATTGTTTTATAATGAGTCAAAACCCAAGCCGAAAAAAAAGACCAAAAATAAGTTTTTAATACATTCAGTTGGCAAAATTGCAACCAACAAAAATAGATCGATTAAGCCGGCTAATCAAAGTGCTAGGATTCTCGAAATTTTTCTGTTGCATCAGAGAGGCACAGTTAAGAAATGAATCTAGGAGAAAAGTCCCGAAACAAAAAAAAATTAAGTGTAAATAATCTAGCAACCGATTGCAATACCCTTGGTTATCGCAACTGTAATAAAAATCACAAAATTAAAATTTCAAAATCATGCAGTCTATTAACAGTTTTCTTGGAGCAACATAAATATTTTTTTTTTTTTGTAAAATCGCAAAATCCAGTTCAAGATGGCTCAAGTCTACGTAACAGTGTTGATGAAGCACCTTTTTTTTTTACTAAATACTATTTTCAAAATACTTCCAGCAGAATTGAGGATAACGAATAATAACCTTCTGAACTATTTACTCGAGACAAAAAAATCGAGAAACGTCTTTTTTCTAGGAACACTCAGGGACTCAAAATCAAAAAATTTAAAGATAAAACCACAAAAATGCGCAAACAAAAAAACGCAGAGAATCAGTGGTATTAGGCTGCTGCTGCAATCGCGAAAAAAATTTTGCCTGTTAAGATCAGAGTGATCAAATTTTGCAAAAAAATCAAGGAAAAATAAGAGCGTGATTGTTACAGAAACACAAAGCGCTACCAGCTGACAGATGTCTCGGAACAGTTTATTAGTGATTTTTTGTAAATTTATAGGAGAAGGTAAATTTTATTGTTTCTAAAGGTAATCTTTCGTAGACATGTTTTATTATACAAAAAGTTTATGAATCCAACATTTTTGCAGAAAAAAAACATAAATGAATTGTTGCTGAAAATTGTTTGCTGAAGGTTGTCGCAATTGACAGGTACAAGAATTATTTAACAAAATCTTATTAATCGAGATGAATGTATGATTTGTAAGAACTTGTAGGAATTTGTAGGAATGGCAGATTATTGATGGTGGATTATAAGCGCAGGAAGACCAAATTATGATGTCGTAAATTAGTGCCAAAGGGGCAACCATTTGGTAGAAAAGGTGAAATTTTCGAAAAATATTGAGCCAGGAAAGCTGATGAAAAAGTTAAAATTTGAAAAAAAATACCAGTTTTTTTTTGCTTTTATTGGGGTAAAAATCAGAAGACAAGTTTCATTTTTCTGTGTGGTTAATTTCTCTATGAGGGCTAAAAACCAGATTTTTACCAAAAATACAAATATTTCAAAACTTTTGCAGGCTTCAAATAAATTGCAGCATGTTCTATAGGCTGAAAATTTTGTAAAACCATTTTTCGGTGCACAGCTATAAGTCACCCGAGGCCTTGAAAAGAAGTGGCCTACTTTGCTTTTTGTGAATTTTCCGGTTTTCTTTTGAACGCATGATTTTGAATTTACAATGACGTTTTTGAATCAAATCTTTCGATTGATGATGAATAAGGAATTTTTGTTCGGGCAGTTTGATTTGCTTATCGTTCTCATAACACCAAAAATCTATCTATTCAACAAAAATATCCTTGCCACGCTGGTGAATTTTCCCAAAATTTCGTAAAACACTGTTTGTATGCGTGTTTTACAATTTGTTAACCAGACTGCGTTTTCTCCTCTTCCACGTTTAAATTGGTGCCATCGTTGCCTTTAGAAGCAAAAACTGGTTATTTGACCCAAAAAGAGCTTTCAAAATTCGTAAATTAGTGTAGCTTTCAAAATTCTGTATTTTTTGAACGATTTTTGTGAGATCGCAACGAGACTTTTTTCGGTGGAACCAGGCGCGGATTTAGGGTTTTTTCGGAATGACAGATTATTGATGGTGGATTATAAGCGCAGGAAGATCAAAATATGATGTCGTAAAGTAGTGCCAAAAGGGCAAGCAACCATTTGGGTAGCAACCATTTAGGTGACATATTCCTCAAAAAACTCTCCCTCCTTAATCCGCTACAGCATAATTAGAACAATAAGAACAAATTTGTTTAAGTGTGATGTATTTTGAATTTAAGCGTTGTGTCTTTTTAGGTTGTTCGATAACTTTAAATCGTGACGCCTGCTCAGTTTGATTGGATTTTTTCAAATGAAAAAAAAAACCTTTTGATTATTTTGTTCGTTAGTACCAACGCTATTTTTTTCTTTTGATGCCCAAAAATTGTCAAAATATGTCATCCGGTCTATTAAGCCCTAGACCAGATAGCATTAAGGTTCGTTCGGTTATTACTAGTTAGCATATTTACCAGGCAAAAAAGGTGTGTCAAGCTATTCCTGTCTACACTCATAAATTTACATCGTTAAGTTATATTTGCAGGAAGAGCGTCTCGTTTTGCTGATGGTATCGACCATAAGTCCAGGCAGGACTTACTCACATCGCTTAGAACAAATAAATTTAATCCTCTTAAAAGCATCTGTTCAATTATTCAGCACAAGACAAAGAACAAATATTAAGTTCAAGAAATCGAATTTGTGCTTGTACGATATGGCTTATAAATTGGCGGTAGTTTACGGGGGCTGCGGAGCTTTAGGAAGAGTTTTTGTCTCCAAGCTTAAATTATCCGGAGCCTACGAGGTAATTTCAATCGACTTCACGCCGAGTGCAGAAGCTGACAACAATGTGCTAGTAACCGAGCTCTCTGATTGGTCGAGACAGAGCAGTGATGTGATTGGTCAATTGGACAAGGTGGTTGGGAAGCGCAGGAATATTGACTTGATTGCGTGTGTTGCGGGCGGATGGGCGGGAGGCAGCGCGGCTGAGTTGGACGTGGTGAAGAATAGTGATTTGATGTGGAAGCAAAGCGTGTGGTCGTCCCTCATATGTGCCCAGATCTGTAAGTAAATGTTGGAGGCATTTGAGAGGGGAACCGAACAACCAAAGATTGAAAAAAGTATACAAAATGTATCTTTTCTTATATTTTGGCCTTTTTTTCTCCTTTCACTAACATATATACCTTTGGGTTAAAGTTCATATGTGGGTTAAGTTTAAAGTTTATGCAATCAAGTGTGACAACGTAAATTGAAAAACCGTTCTGCTGCCTAATTTCGTCGGAACTTTGTCGTAAATGTCAGCCTGAGGCAGAGTGTTGAGGTGTTTTTTCATAAAACTTTTCACGAAACTTTTTAACTCTACCAAGATGATGATCCGATATTTTGCAAAACACGAAAAAGACTTTTTTTTAAGTTACTAACTAGTCAGAAACGTCAATCTTAAAAAAACCTGGACAAAACGCCGTTTATATAAATTTTTAGATGCATCCAATTAAAATGATTTAGATAATGTTCAACAGAAATAGGATGGTTTTTCATGCTTGCTCCCTCTCCAATTTAACTATACATTTTTTAACACATAATTCACTGTAAGATCTGATGTCGAAAAATATATTTGTGTCGAACAATAGTACAAATCAGGAGCTTATTGAATGGCGATGGTGTTGATTTTGCCCCTCGTTGCAGCTGTAATGAAAATAACCAATATCGAGTCTATGTAATTATTGTTATGTTTTTCATCCTTTGTCCTTCATTTTAGCATCCAAATGGTCGAATCCAGATGGAGGTCTCCTCCAGCTGACCGGCGCAGTGCCCTCTCTGGGTGGGACACCTGGCATGTTGGGCTATGGAATGGCCAAGGCAGCAGTCCACCAACTCACTCACAGTCTAGCAGCTCCAGGCTCTGGCATTCCCGAAGGTATCCAGAGTAACCACGCTCAAAAGTTTCCACAATATAGTTTTGAATAAGAATGAGCTTTTCTAAAGGTTTTTACCTTCTATATATCCTTACAAAGATTATTGCCATTTTTCCATTATATACTTAAGTTTCAATTTGAAACTACATTATTTCATGAGACGAAGTCCCTTTCCGTGTACGTCCCCACACTGAAAGTTTAAATCAGACAACTTAAAGGTTAATAAACTGGACTGCATGTCATCCCATAGTTTTTTTGACGTCAGAACTGTACGGAGAATCGGGTTCGAAAAATGTTTTTAGTGAAATTGACGTTTCAGGATCTTCAGTTGTGGCCATTCTTCCCGTAACTCTCGACACTCCCATGAACAGGAAATTCATGCCAGACGCTGACTTCACCAGCTGGACTAGTCTGGAGTTTGTGGTGGACACAGTCATGGCATGGCACGACCAGTCAGTTGATGCAAGACCCAAGAATGGTGCCTTAGTTCAGTTTGTAACCAAGGATGACGTAACTGATTTGATAATCGAGAAATAGATAAACTTGTAATTTTGTTGCTTATCCAGGTACACGAATGGCCAGATAGCTGAACGAAAATAGCTTGCTCACCAAACGAAAAAAGAATTAAAAGTGATTTTAATAAGAACAGCTGCTTGTTGTGCTAGAGGCGCCCATAATTCTCAACAGTTATCTTTACAAACAAAAAACTGGAGGAAATTGTTGATTTTGAAAAACTGTTTAAGTCCAGGTGTCATTAATAACGCTTCCATATTTTCAATCCAAAAAAGTAGCATGTAAAATGAGTAATCAAAATATTCCCAGTGTCGAGAAAAACTGGCCCAAAAGTTTCGAGTTTTGGTTCATTTTCAAGCGAGTAAAGTACGAGAGCAGATATTTTATAGAAGGATAGGAACATTTTAGTTTTATTGTGGTAAAAAATTTTCTGCGCGGTCTTGAGAATAAGAACTTCAACGATACAAAAACTATCTGCAAAAAAATGAACCCCTTTCCCTTCCTCAGGATTTTGACCCCCTATCGACCGAAAGGGTCCCTCATTTGGTACTTTCTAAGATATCCATTTTTGGATGATCGACTTAAAAATTTTTCTAAAGGCGCTTTTGACGCCGATATATACTAGTTAAAATTTTCCAAAAAGTGCCTAAAACGGCTTTTTGACCTGTTGTTTAAAAAATTCATGAAATTACGGTCAGCTTGTGTTCTGGGAGCGCTCGGGAACTCAATTTGATTGACCTAAAAAAGGTCGTCAAATATTATTTTAAATGTTTTGAACATCCGCCCCGTCGAAATGAGAAAAAAAAACGTTTATATTTAAAAGTGACTTTGGTGGCAACCAAATAATGAAAAAAAATATCATTCAAAGTATAATAACTGTGTGCCACTTAATGCTGATAAATTCTGATCAAAAATAATTTTGCCAATTATTCCTACTGCTAGTCTAAAACAAAAAAAAAGCAACTTTTGGAAAAACTTTAGAGGCCTTTGTGCAATGGCCAAAAATAGCATGAAATATCTGAAGTTGTAAGCATTTGAAAAAATTTTTGCGAAACTAAAAAGCTGTGAAAAAAATGACAGTTTTTTTAAATAAATTGTGGCAAAAGAAAACAGAATTACTTGAAAGTGGCCGACCCGTAATCCCTACCTAGCGCATCATCATAGGTCCTGTTGTCCTACAATTATAAAATTAAATGGAAAAGTTAGATACATGGGATTTCAATGTTTTTGCTCATTACGTTTTTGTTCAAATGTAGGAGGCGTCTTTTCAGCGGTCAAAAATCTAAACTTTTGGTCTAAATTTTGGTCTAAACACGAAAATTCGCCTTAAAATGCGCAAATAACTGGGACATAAAAAGCGCAAATAAAACGTAAAATTTTACATTGTACTCCAAAATATTAAGTTTTAAGTTTTTTTTAGCTTCTTGAAAACAAAACAAATCCTTCAAAACAAACAAAAAAGTTTTAGAATACAACGAAAAAAAATTTTTGACCTTTTTTTTGTTGTTCGATTTATTTTCGATAAAAACAAAAACCGTATATTACTCTCATTTTTCTAGGCTTTCGCTTAACTCCGTTCATACCAGAACGCACAAAAACAATTAATAATTTGCAAACAATTATTGTGGCAAGGATGAAGTACCTACCAGCTGATGCGTTGCGACATTCACTTATATGTGTCATACGGCGCAGTATCCGTATGCAAGGTAACGGTGATGTCCTCACTTAGTCTAGAATACTTCTGCTAAATGATACCTGTCAGTGCTCGTGAGTTATTTACGTTTTAGCTTGACACTCTCTCAAGTCCGTTATAAAGTTACGGTTGATATTATTTATTCTATCCAAAAACAGTTCTGAAATAATTCCATATCCATATCTAAAAACAATTTACAAGTGTCCTTAGATAGTTTCTAACTGATCTTGTTGTAGCATTTCTGAAGATATCCTAAGGCGCAGCGATCAGTCTTACAATCTGATGTTATAACAGACCTTTGATGCCAGTATTCTTGAGGAAAGTCTCTGCAGAAACTCCGTTTCCACGGGAAACATGGAAAAGCCAGTGTTTCTGGGCAATCTCACTCAACAAATGATGTGACCCAAACGTTCTATACCGCCAACAGAAACACCAGACTAATCAAATTAGAAACTACCACGAGAAACAGCAGCTATCTGAAGAGTCGCAGATGTGACGACTACATTTGAAACAAGAGACCCGAAATCGGTGCCAACACATTTCATTATGGGACAGATAATCGCTTAAAAACTAGGCTGATTTTGCTCGTGGCAATGAAGCAAAAAAGGTTCCTTTGACAGCATGCCCACACCAACCTCCAACCAAATCACGGCAAACTTCAAAGAGAAATACAGCTTATGCGAAAGGTTTTTTAAAAGAGAAAAAAACTACATCTTATAAAAATACAGTTTTCCAAGGCACAACAGGGCGACAAAGAAGGCCTCGAAGCCTTTTGTCTTTGTCTATCAGGGCAAGCAGCGACATGTGGGTGGAAATTATCAAACAAATTATACCGGATACCTTCTTCGCCAAAACGAAATTCTCTGATGTTCCGAGAAAACTTTGCATAAGATCAGGAGCCCTGCACGGGAAAGGATACAAAACAGCCAATATCTTACAAAAAAAACAAATTCGAAAGTGGAAACTTCAATCAAAACTTCTTCAAATTGAACCAAGAACCTACCATACTCATGTAATCAAAAAACAATATTCAGAACAGGATGAACCGTGCATTTCCTATCTCAGCGAATCAGAACCGCAGTAGCAACAATCCAAATCAGAACCAGAAACCTGATATCGGATTTCGAAATGTTTACTCCCTAACATATTGAGAAATTAGCAGCTGGAAACGGTAGCTGCGAATTTTGTGGCGAAAGAGAAAAACTTTGCAAAATGCAGAAATTCTGCAATGGCACATGAAAATAATCTCATATCTGTTCAAGAGGACGAAGAAACAACAGAACTTTAGAAACGACAAACAGCGAGCCAGGGTAGTCAGTCTTCAGTATAAAAGAAGTGCCAGTTCACGGGTGTTCGCGTAAATCTCCACAAATCGAATCGTAAAAATATCGACTTTCAAACAGTTGGAATGCAGAGCATTTTCTCGGCAAAATTAACTCTGGAAATCCATACTTTAAAAAACTTTCAAAACATGTTTCATCATCGGTAACATCGGCCATAAAAATCTGCATAACTCAAAGCAAGCTGCGAAAATGGCCACTCTTTGTCCTTGAGACAAATTGATCCTTTTAAAGGTCAGCCTTAATCAAGGCTGAACCAAATTAGAGCAAAAAGAAGGTTAAAATAGTTTTTATTGGGGGGGGGGGGTGTTCGAACCTGGTTACGGAGCGTCCCATCAAATTCGGGGCAAATTTGAGTTCTAGAAAGAAATGACCTAGGCGGGATTCGAACCGGCGCCGATCCCGCCAGGACGCACCCTGTATACGCTCTGCTACTGTCCCTATATGAATTTACACTTTGGTTCAATTTATGCTCTCATGCATTTATACTCTCGCTTACATTTGCGCTGCAACATCCCCCATCCCTAAACAAAGAAGAACGGGAGGGAGCTTTACGGTCGGGCGCGTCAGTTCGCTCGTATCGGTCTTTATGTCGGCGGATCTCGAGCATCCGTCCTTGCCGTAGTGCAATCTAATGATATGTGCGAGTGGATAATGTCCACGTGGAGTGTCAGGCTCTATGACCTAAACCAAGTCACTGGCTTTCAACTTAAAGTCTGACTGGTCTTGCCACTTTGCCCTCCTATTGAGGGAAGGAACGTATTTCCGCATCCACCTTGTCCATATTGGGTTAGCGTATGATTGCGCTCTGGCGAACCACTTCTTATGGTCGAAGTTTTCTTCGAAACTTAGAGACGGAAAACTCGCTGCGTGTTGACTAAGGATAAAATGATTCGTAGCCAACGCCTCTAGATCTAGCGGATTGGAACTTACGGCTGTTATCGGTCTAGCGTTAAGTGATTGCTCAACAAGGTACAGCGTGGTTCTTAGAACCTTCTCAGTTACTCTTATATTGCCTAGGATGTCATACAAAACACGCTTGACACTCCGAACTAATCGCTTACAGGAGCCACCATGGTGCGGTACGCTGGGTGGATTGAATTTCCACTTGATCCCTCTCTGGACAAAAACAGCGGGTGCGAGTTGTTCCAACTCTCAACGCAAGCTAAGAGCTCTTTCTGAGCGCCAACAAAGTTCGTGCCGTTGTCGGACATGATGGTAGTTGGAGTACCGCGACGTGCAATAAATCTCTCCACGCCCATAACACAAGAGCTTGTGTCGAGAGAGGGGACCTATTCAGTGTGCACTGCTCTAGTGGTGAGACAGGTGAACAAAAAACCCCACCCCTTTTCTGTACTTCTCCGGATTGGAACTAGGAACGGCCCAAATTAGTCGAAACCTGTGTTAGAGAAAGGAGGTTGCTTGTAACCCAGCCTTTCAATGGGCAGATCAGCCATCATATGAGTTACGGTTTGCGCTTTGCACTTTCGGCACGCAACGCAAGTATTTTCAATGTTTCGCAGAAACCACCGCAAAATTATTACAGCGCATTTCAAATTAACCACCGCACGCATGTAATCCAGGCCTTGATGGAAGTTCCTAACATGCAAGTGTTTAACCAATAACCGAACAATCGCGTGACGTGCATCAAGTATAATTGGATGCTTGCAATCGAAATCGGAATCAACCAAGCGGCTAATGCGACCAGTCGAGCGAAGGATGTCAGCTGGTCCAATGAATGGCGAATACTTGGCGATCCGACTAATCCTCGTGATAACTTTACCGGATCTTAGTAGTTTTAGCTCGCTAGGGAATGTCTCACACTAGGACAGGTAAATGAGCTTCTGTTCAGCAATTTACATTTCACACGGGTCGGTAATTTCTATTACATTCGACCGGAAATGTTTATGGTATGGCAGCCATCTTAACAAAAATGCTACTGTGCGTTTGCATTTTACAATTGAATTGAATCTCTCCCATTTTACGATGGGAAGATTTTTTTCTGTCAAAAGATCGACGACGAAATTTGACGAATTTTTCAGACAAACGTCGATATCACATGATGGTCTTTTGAGTCTTATTTTTATCAATAACCTTTGTATCGGTCTTGAACGGCCGATCAGTCGTCCTCAGTATACCAGGGCTGTTAAACCAGCTGCTTTCCGAAGAAATCCCTCGTGTATCGGTATCAGCTGGGTTATCAGCGCTAAGTATGTGATGCCAATGATCAGTGGTGGTAGACTCCAGAATTTCATCAGTGCGGTTACCAACATGAATGGGTAATTTATTACAGGAGTTA